GCGCTGGGGAAGCGCCGGCCGGGGCGCAGGGTCTGGGGGCTGCCTGGCAAACCGTGAAGCCGGTAGCGCTCGGGCAGCCCTTTTCGCATGGCTGGGAGGGAGGAGGGGGAGTTAGGGCGGGGACTTTGGGGAAGGGGCGAAGTTGGGGCAGGGAAGGGGAAGGGGCAAGGCCCATGGAGTGTCCTCTTTTTTTATTTTTTAAATATGGTAACCCTACTCATGCTCCCCACCCCCTGTTGCTGAGTCAGGTCCCTCACACCCCCACTTACTGCTGAGAGCTGGGCCCTGTGCTGGCCTGGGGCTGAGGGAAGCGGGGGTGGGGGGACGACACTCACAGCCACGTGCTGATGTGCTGGGAGCGGCACCTCGAAGGGGATGTCCGTGTTCTGGAAGTCGACGTGGTCCAGGGCATCGAGCGTGCCCTCTTCGATGGCCTGGGGGCAGAGGGAGAGCGCTGCAGGGGGGGCCAGCATCCTGCAGTGCCAGCCCAGGCAGCACAAACCTCCCGCACCAGCAAAGGCCCCAGCAGGGTCCCAGGAGATGCCTTTGCCACTCCTAGCGGACACACCCATGGCTCACATTAGCCCTGACCTTGCAGCCAGCTGCTCGTCCACCCGGTGAGCCAGGCCCCATTCTGCGGGACCTACATTCTCTGTTCCGAGGGTACGTCCTGGTATTCAGCTCTGTGCACACGAGCCCAGCACACCGCCGAGTGGGTGAGGGATGCGCGCTTTGGCGCTTCCACCTGAGACCCGAGGAAGAGCTCCATGCAGGGCTCTCTGGGTCCAATACAAGCTAAGCCCTCCCTCCGCCATCTGTCTCATACCCTGGGGCCACCCAGCTACAACAGCCCTGCCTCCAGCTTGCCAGGGGGGCCAGGTCGCTCCGTGGAACCCACGTGTCCCCATCATGATTTACCGAGTTTTCTGTACGCTGTAAAATTCATCAGAGATTTTTATATTTCCTCCCGGATCCTCGATGAAGATATTGGAGCTGAGAGCCCCCATTAGAACCCCCCACACCCCACTGGATGACAACTGCCCATCTACTATTTGCCACCCACTAGCTAGCCGCTGGTGAATCCATTGAATGGGGTGCTACTGATCTGGCATCGTGTTAATGTTTGTCTGACCTGTCAGGCTGGCAGGACTAAACCGCAGCCCTGACACAAGTTTAGCAGCCAGGCGTATGAGACCTATTTTCCATAGAGCGATCAGCAAACGCTGCTGCCTTTCAATTCTCAATGGAGTGTGCCCCAGCCAACAGGACGGCGATCGACACCCTTGGCCAGGGGCCGGGGAACTGGGTCCCCCACCTGGCTCCTGCTGCTAGGGAGTCCAGGGTTAGAATGGAAACAGGCACAGGCCCTCTACTCGAGCAGCTGGAACCTGAGTGACCCTCCTTGCCAGCTGCTCTGGGGTCCCTGCTGGGTGCCGGCCCAACAGAAGGGCAAGGAAAGGGCCGAGCTGGACGCTTTCCTTCCTGGTTCTTGAGCAGGCAGCAGCCGAAGTGTCAGGAAAGGAGAACAGCTTCCCTCCCTCGTTCGGGGCCACCTCCAGGCCAGACAT